AGAATGTTTAGATATTTATACTAGAAAACAAGACAAAAATACAAAATATTTTTTCCGGTGTGTCTGACTGTATAGGCCTCAAGTTTTTTATATGTTGAACACTCATTTATTTGTACCTTTTAGTGTAAACATTGCACTTAAGTATTGCCAAACAAGTGATCCAGGACAAATCCTTCAGTGTTTTTTGGCTTTTCAATATAGTGGTTCATCAATGGATGTTTTTAAATTACAAATTCGTAATTTTTACATATGGTCCGCCCAATCTTGAACATTTTCTAACATTGTAGATTTAAAGCGTTTGCTAATTTTTAAGCAAACAAATTGGCAGACAGTCCATAGTTTTGTTCATAGCTTAACGCTCGACGCAAACTGCAGCTTGGCTCCGGGGTTGACCACTCGCTAAACAGCTCATGGTGGAACATTCCAGAGCCTTTGGAGTGAGCCAGAGAGGAGGAGGAGGAGGAGATGTGGGGGGTAACGGCTCTGCGATTGTTGGATGAGGGTGGAAAAGGGTGTGTGTGTTAGGGGGGTAGGGATGGGGAATTGGTATCAAGGCAAAAAATTCCTTGCTGAAAAACCTCACCTCACACTTGCTGCGACAGTTAATGGCCCCCAACACATGTGCACACACACACACATGCTCGCACCTCGGCCCAAACTTAAGGGCCTAACCCCCACTCGTCTTCTCATCCTCAGGGTCTGACCAGCATGATGGATGTCAGGCCCGCCTACCACGCAACCCTTTTGTGTTGGTTATGTGACCCAGCAGCATTGGCAGGGCCATGCCCCCAACGCCGCAGCAAGCTGCAATGAAGGGCATTTCCATTTTCTGGGAAAAAGAGGATATTGTGGCAGTGTAAAGGCCTTTCCACACCGAGCGCGAAAAAGCGAAATGAATATCGTACTCGCTGGAATAAAACAATAGATTTCTATGGATGCTTCCACACAGACTGCGAACATTCGCGCACCGAAAATGCCGTTTTTTTTTTTTTTTTCGAACCAGTCCGACGAATCTTTCAGTTACGCAAAGTGAAAACACGGGCCGTCCAATAAGATTTGAGCATTACATCACGTGGCTAGAGCAACTGCTGTTACCCAAAAGGTCGACGCGGTGGCGCTAAAAGCTCAGAAGACTGTATTGAGCACGAGCGTAAAAACACCGAAGTAGAGGACTTTCAACCAACATACAAAGAATGTGGATGTCGAGATGTTGTTGTCGTTGGTGTCTATATTTATATTCATACGATATATTTTCTGTATATGTTTTCATGCAGGTCATATGGATGTGCTCCATAGCCATACCGTCCTATCGTCAGATCGCCGATACACGATATTATCGAGCCAATTTATTTAATTATTAACTTACTTAGTTTCATAGCTGGAGAGTGAACCAACTCCAGGCCAGTGTACGGCTAAAAGCAGCCTAATGTTAGTGTAATCCATTAACTGCACATTATATATTTTCAGTCAAGTAGCATATGAATGTCATGTCATAAAATATTTTTAATATGACTGAATTTGTATTTAACTTGATCACAATTTAATAAAAACATTGTATGTTACTAATTATAATGCTTACATTTCCTTAGTTATTCAAACAGCAGCTACAGAAAACAAGCAAAGAACATTAACATTACCAAAGAACATCATCACTGACTTCAGTCTAGGGCAAGTATATGCACTTTAAAAAACAGTCCCGTTATAATCAGTGAAGCTATCTCTTATACTTACATTGCACGTACATCTGCACTTTGTTGTTTATGATGAGAGAATTCACAAGAGAGCTGAATTCAGTCAGCGCGCTTGTGCAATAAACAACAAAACTCCGGTGTTTCAGCGATGACTCATTTGCATGCCTCTGATTGGCCATTGCGTTCATAAACTCAATGTAATCGTAATTGGTTATAACGCGCAACACTATAAAAAGTAATATGATTGGACAAATAAGCCCTAATATTAATTAGATAATAATACTAGCCTAATAATAATAATAATAATAATAATAATTGTCTTGATATCGTCAAAGGCATCAGCGATACTTCATACTACATACTACACGATACTTACATCTATCGGCACAACCCTAATCTGAGCCATAAATGCAATGTTACTAATCACTCTGAAGCTGCAGGAAAATCATATCATGACAATGCCAGAGTGGCTGATGCCACCAGAAGAACATGTACAGCTCATAAAATCAACAGCAGTTGACAGAGAAAATGAGAAAAAGAAGTCTATTTCACATCTTTAAGAGCCCTCCAAAAGTTGGGCGCTGGAAAAACATCTTCTAAACCATAACAAAGTAATAGTGATTTATATAGACCAATTCGGAGTTTGCAAACAGTAATGACATTTTTTTGTTTTTTTTTTGTGGGCGGAGCATATCTGTTGGTAGAAAATGACAGTTTTCAAGTAGCAGTCTATGGAAGCCATGGAATAAAAGAATAAAAAAAGGTAAATTTGAGTATACATTTCAAATTTCTGACTTTATCGCAATTAATCTCTTAGAAGTGTGAGATTATATCTCACAATTCTGATAAGAAAAATCAACTCGTCATTCTCCCTTTTCCCCTCGGATCAGAATTATGAGTTTGTATCTCACACTTCTGGCTTTTTTCCTCATAACTGACAAACTCACTATTGTTGAGTTAAATTGAGTTTTAAAGTCTGAACTAGGATATTTAAACTTGTATGTGCTAGGGGGGAAAAAAAGTCAGAATTGTGAGATAAAATAAATGTTATGTCAAATATTTTAGGTTTAAATAGTATTTCATGCTGTAACTTTAGGGCTAATACAATATGTCCCCTATGAACAGCATATGTGAATATTATGTAGACCTATTAAACCTTTGTAAATCAAATTTATGCTTTAAAAGTAGAGTAATCATAGCAGGTTTTATCCATAGTCTGTCTGTTTTTTTTGCGTTTAGTTTCAAATGGCATATTTGATGACAGTATTCTATACAAATGATTTGCATTCTGATTCTGACATCCAAAGGCACAACAATACATTTTTTCTCTTATTCCATGGGTTTTACCCGTTTCCCTCCACTTGTTACCAGTGTTTTTTCTGCTACCACAATGCGCACGCAGCTGAAAGTGATGTAACTGTGATGTCTACTCCAAATAGGTCTATGTATTCTCGATGTAGTCAGAATATATGATTACTATATAATGGCCACCTGGAGAATAATACTTTAGGATCCTGATGGTGTAATTACAGCATCTACCAGCAGGGGCTAACTAGACCATGTTATCAGACCAAACCTTTCCTGTGTCCCTTTGTGACATGGTAGAATTGGAGAAAGTTGTACTGCTCTTTTCAGCTTGGTTATTGGTCATACAGTATTCTCTTATTGGAAACATGTTCTTGCTGTCATCATTGTGGTCCTTTCTTGTCATATGTTTTGCCTTTTGTGGCCCCAAATCCCTATCATTTGGAGGGTTAACTTGCAGCTAAGAAACTGTGCTGCCCTGTTCCTGGGTATGTTTACTTGCTGCAGTCTAAGATTAGTGAATTGAAAGTGACCTATATTTCTAGTAGGCCTTGGCAGTCACAGTCATTTGAATCAGAAATTAACTCCAGTGCTTTTTTTCCTGTGTTGTTGTTGTTGTTGTTTAGTGAATACACTGTTGAACATTAGGATGTGTGCATATTGAAATGTATGTTTTCTCACATTTGTGGTATGAAAAAATCCATCGGGTTTGATTGATAGTATGTCATTCACTTAAAACAACAAAAGTTAAACTTTTTCTGAGAGGGGATGGGGTGTGAGGACGCTCCGTAAACAGAATGAAAGGCTGTAAAAGCCTATTTGAAAGTAGCTCAGTCATCAGAGACAGACATAAAAGCAGCTCTTCTCTTTTGTACTGTAAGTGAAAAGACGTTTAAAGATAGAAGGTCAATAGGCAGTTTTTTTTGTTATTTTAGTATAGTAACTAAATTGAGGTTGACTTCTGTGGTTCTTAAAAGCTGTTGTTTTTTCTTTACAGATGCTCTGATGCCTGAAACCATTAAGGACATTAAATACTTATAATGAACTGATGATAATGTCCATCAAAAAGTTCTCAGTGGATGTTCAATAAGAGTGGATAACTATCATAATTAATCAGGACTCTCACTGGAGACTAAGTAGACAGAACCATGGCTAGCAAGAGGAAGTCGACCATTCCATGCATGATTCCTGTAAAAGCCATGCATCTGCAGGATGACTTTGAGCGGGACAGACTGTCCCCTTCAACCAAGGACATTGGCTTTTCCGTTACAGAGGAAGCAAGTGGAAAAAGCAGTCAAAGTTTGGATGAGTCCTCTGGGCAAGAAGCAGGTGATACCCATAAAGATGGCGGTATTTACATTTGTAGGCCATGTAACTTTGAGACCCAGGACCTAAATCTTTTCCTTGATCATGTCTACATTGGACACCTAGATTTCCGCATTGACCCTTGTTTCCTTTGTGTGGATTGCGGGATTAGTGCAGCAAAATTTGAGGGCTTGGCACTGCACAATGCCCGTGTCCATCCGAGTACAATAAACACCACACTTCAGCTCAAAAAGAAGGACAATAGAATCATAGTAGAGCAGCGTCTTTGCGTGGAACCTTGTGAAAGCACTAGCTCTAAAGAATCTGAGATATCCATCACCAAGACACCAATCATGAAAATGCTGAAGGGTAAATCAGAACCCAAAAGAATTGTAGTTTCCCACCCTGCAACTGATGACCCTCCCCCCGTTATTACCAAAGTGGTGGAGAAAAGTGACTCTCCTGCAGTTACAGTCACTCATGTGCCCACTATTGTACACAATGGAGCAGCCAGCAAAGTTGCCTTGCCATCGGCCATACAGATTGTGAATGGCTCTGGGGCTTTGCCCATGCTGAAGACAGCTGTTACACAAGTCGTATCCGTTGTGCAGAACAGAAGTCTCAATCAACAATCTGCTCCAATCACTGTCTCCTCATCCCACTCCTCTTCGGCATCCTCATCATCAAGTACTAGGAATCTTCCAAAAGTAATGATCCCCATGAGCAGCATTCCTACTTACAGTGCATTCATGGACAATAGCAGTTTCTTAAAGACATCCTTTAGCAAGTTCCCTTATCCAACCAAGGCTGAGCTTTGCTACCTTACTGTAGTCACCAAGTATCCCGAGGAGCAGATCAAGATCTGGTTCACAGCACAAAGGCTGAAACAAGGAATCAGCTGGTCTCCAGAAGAAATAGAAGATGCCCGCAGAAAAATGTTCAATACAATCATACAGGCAGCACCTTCAAACGGCCAACAGCAACGTCAGACCCACCACACCACTACTCAACAAACTATCACAGTTCTGGGCACAACCGGCATCCCTCATATCTTACAAGGTAGACTTGTTGGGCAAGGAGGGGTTATTGTCACCCAGCCAATGATGGCTAATGGAATTCAGGTCAGCAGTGCCCCTGTTGCATTAGCCATAACACCTAAACCTCAGGCTGCTGCAAAGCCTACTATGCTGGCCAGACCCACCGCAGCCCTGGTAGCCGATAAAGGAATCAGCATGGTTTTAGGCACTGTTGGTAGCAGCAGTAGTGGAAATTGCAGTAGTAGCAGCAGCAGCAATGCTAGTACTAGCAGCGGTTCAAGCAGTATTAGTAGTACTAGCAGCTTATGTAGCCAGGCTAGTGTAATCAGTATTGGTAGCTGCAGCCCTGCTAAGTCAAATAGCAACAGTAAAGTTAAGGTCAATACACCGGGTACTAATGCCACTTGCATTCAAAGCAATGGTAACATTGTGAAAAGTGAGGGTAAAGGCAATTCTGAGGCTAAAAGCAACATTAACAGCAAGGACATTGTTTCAGCTGCCAGTACCACTCCAGCCACGACCTCTGCATCTACGACTACAACAGATAGTGCCGTACCAAGTAAATCAGACTCTCCTATGTCTATGAACTCCCGTATATTCCCCACCACTAACTTCCTGGACCCCAGCTTTAACAAAACCAAGAAGTCACAGGAACAGCTGGCAGCCTTAAAGGAGAGCTTCCTTGTTAGCCAGTTTCCTAATCAAGAGGAAGTAGACCGACTTATAAGCCTAACTGGTCTGTCTGTACGTGAAGTGCGGAAATGGTTCAGTGACCGCCGCTACCACTTCCGGAATCTGAAGGGTTCAAGGTCAAGTGGCGGAGGTCAAACTGTTACTAGTGGTAGCCTTTCCCAACTGGAGACTCTTGCTGCTGTGGACCTGTCCGAAAACAGTACACCCCCAGAGAGGCCCAAAACTCCCCAGCAGTCACCTCTCAGCCCCTCACAGACATCATCCCCGCCAACTCCAACACGGCGTCCTCCACGACCCCCATCGCCAGATTTCACGGCGATACGGTACAAAGAGCGAGAGCCCCACCAGGTTCGTGCTTTGGAGGCCAGCTTTGCACAGGACCCAGATCCACCTAGTGAAGAAGTTGACCGGTTAAGAATAGAAACAAAGATGACTCGCCGTGAGATCCACGGTTGGTTTGCTGAGCGACGGAGGAGGGTAGCAGCAGAGAAGAAGAAAGAGGAAGCTGAGAGGGCAGAAAGGGAAGATGATGATCTGGTGGGAGAAGCAGAGGAGCATCGAATAAACAAGGAAAAAAACGGCAATGAGGAGATGCATGAAGCTGAAGATTCCTGCAAGGAAACACAAGACAAAGAGGAGCAACAGAAGGATGAGACCGGTACTGAGCCGAAAGTTAACCCTATCAAAATCAATCTCAAAATGCTGAAAGTTACTGAATCTAATGGAAAAGGTGAACCCGAGGGCAGTCAACTGAATGAGGCTACCAAGGTGGCACAATCTATCTCTCAGACAGCTGTTCCTCAGACCTCCCCATACCGAGGTAAGAAGACGCCCGAACAGCTCCACCTGCTGAAGCAAGTCTTTGCACGCACCCACTGGCCCAGTAGTCCCCAGTACAATGAGCTGATAACTAAAACGGGCCTACCGCGACCAGAGGTGGTACGTTGGTTTGGAGATTGCCGCTATGTCCTGAAAAACGGCCAGCTCAAGTGGCTTGAGAGTTACCAGACCATGGTAGATGAGGAAGACTTCCAGAAAGATAACATTGGTGTCCTAAAGGAGCACCTAGACAAACATGGTAAACTAGATGAGACTAAGTTGGAGGAGATTGTCACATCAAGTGGGTTAGGTGAGGAATCAATCCGGCGGTGGTTTGCAAATAAGATGACACTTTTATTGGAGGAAAGGAACTCTGAGAGCACAGGAGGTGTGATGACTGAATCATCATCTGCAACCCCAACTGAAGCTGCTCCGGCGTCACAGCATCCAGACCATGAAGATGTAAAGGTGGAGCAGTCAGGAAGCAGCCTAATCTCTAAGGATCAAACCACGAAGTCAGTAGTCGAGATATCAGCAAATACTAAACAAGGTGATTAATGTTCTGCCATTTTAGCCATTTATTTTATAGCTTATTTGAGGATGGGATTAGCCCTTAGATTGTTTCCAGTATGAGGTTGTTTTTGTGTTTAATACTTGTGTTTCTTTTCACAGAGTCTGACTGAAGAGGAGAGTGGATGTATGAATGAATGTGAAGCGATATCAGCCCATGGGATTACAGCACATGTGGCCTTTAATTGAAGGCTTTTTTTAAACAAATGACATATTATACTTTAACAGGAGCACTGGATAACATCTCTGCAAAAACAAAAACTCTCCCCCCAATTAATATTCCCTTTTTCTCCAAGAGTTACTAGCTGTCCCACTGTTCAAGACATGTGGATTATCAAAGGTCAGGATGCACCCCTTCACCAGCCAGCTGCTTTTCTTATTTGGATAGGATAGAGGGGAAAACAGACCATGTCTTTGTGAAGTGATAGACCCAAGTTGAAGTCCATGGAGAAGTTTTTCTTGGATGTGAATTTCCTATCGTTTTCTTCTGGGGAGGAATTACCATTTTTAGGGGACTTATGGTGGTACAAAGCGCAAACTGCACAGCTCTCATTGAGCCCGTTTGTGTTTCTTAAAATATGACTGAAATAATTGCACCTCAGAGAGGTTGAGTTATATGCTGTAGGTGAGCATCAATACCATGGCACATTTTCTTTTTTTGAAATGTCATTGAAAGTAAAAGAAACCCATACAATCATGATTACTTGTGTCAAAACAGATTCACCAGTGTGAACGCTTAGGTTTGTATGATTTTTACAAATATTATTTGCAGAATAAATTTAATATAAAAAATGGTCATGGATTTTCCAACTTGAAAAGAAAAACATCACCTTTTCATTGTTGAATAAGTACTTTATTCTCAGGCTTGATTATGTTTCATATGAAAAGCAAAATTAAAACGTATACTTCCTCCAATATAGCATAGGCACATTACAGAAAGGCTTGGTTTGTAAATAAGAACATTGGTAACAAAACGCTGATGCAAGAAAGCATAGAAAATGTCATACATGTCCAACGGAATCTTCCGTTGATGTATATATGTATACATACACCAAGGCACATGAAAGATGATGCAAGAAAACAGCAGAAACTAATTTACAGACTGGAGAAGGGCTACAGAAGTACAAGGAAAGGGATTAACACTGAAAACAAATTGAGGGAATGTTGGCTAATTAGGAATAAATGTAAGGAAACTTGAGCGAATTCCCTCTGAAGGACTTTGGCATTGTCTTTTCCTCTCAAAGCTCAGGAAGTGATTATGGTCCTTGTGTCTTTCTGTACTATTTCTAGATTGCATAATGCAATTTGCTATACACTAAAAAAAAAGAGAATTTATGCATGCATCCAAAGGCGCAAGCTGGTTGCTTGAATTGCATATCCCTCCATGTTAAAATGCCCCTTGTTTACAATTAGTTAGCATTCCTGTATATGCCCAGTCTGGGGAAATTGAGGAGTAAATTCTGGAGCATCTTTCAGACTCTGAGCTGTCATGCACAGAACCAAATAAATACTGTGACAATACTGCCATAACATAGCAGCCACAAGGCAAAAAAGAGGGGAAAACTGGCAAACAAGTTCTCCATGGTCACCCTGCTCCATTAAAACACACCTGGACCCCATGGTCAAACGGAGAGCAAGGTAAAGCATCAGTAATGGAAAAATAATGCAACAGCATCACAATGGCTTCTCATATGGCTGTTAGACACTAAATGATTCTCAGAACTAGATGGCATGTGTATTTGTGCAGTCCGGTAACATCTCAACCTCTACTGGCTAAACGAGAACTGCATGAAACTTATCAGAGCTACAATAAATATGGCCTTGTTTTTACTGTACATCAACTGTAAATACTGAGGTTTAGCAGTCTTAGCCTGTTTATCGATCAATGACAGTCTGTATTAGGGCAATACTATAGCATAACACAAAACTAAATGACAGCTTGGCACAAGGTATACATCTAAAGAAAGACTGACCAAAATGCCCCCATACTCCTGCCCACAGAAGAAGAAAAAAAACAAAACATATCCATAACATTTTCAGAATTATTCAACGCTCAGGGTGTTCTACTAACCCAATGAACTGAGACAGACTTATTTTGGTCCCAATGTTTTGTATAAACCACCTGCAGAGTCTACCTTTGGCTTTCTTTAAACAGACATCATGGTTAACACGCTACTAAATCATACATAAAATGTCCTCCCTATTTTGATCTGATAAGACAAAACATAATAAAAAGCCTTCAGGAACAAGACTTCTCAATTGCTAAAATTGAGATAAATCACAGAAATGGTGTTGGAGGAATAAAACGTTCTGAAATGAGATGGTTGAAGTCCTGTAAACTAAATACACAACGTTTCTGATGCTCCCATAGCCTGAAAACCCCACCGGAGCTGTTTGTGAATTAAAGTCCACCCGTGCAGACTGGCAAAACATAAAACAAGGAGAGTGATATTGCTCTCTGGTCACTTGATAACGTCGTAACTTTGTTTAAAAAAAATAAAGGTTGTTAAAGGTCGAAGAATGTCTTCCTGATGCTCAGACAGCGACTGCTTCAATGAGATCTCCCATACTGCCACCT